CCGACTGTTGCTAGATGCAGCAGCTGACTCCATCTCACACGCACGTTCTAACCACCAGGCTTCGCGGTCCTTACGTAAACACTGTCTAATCTTGCGCGTGAGCGCCTTTCGCTGATTGTTGTATTCGCTGCCAGCCGGAATGGACCGGTGTTCATCCAGGAGTTGCAAGGAACTCGCAGAAACCCAGTGGTTGTTAGCGGAGCATTCTTTCAAGCCGCAAGCGGCTACACTCGCCTTTTGCATGGCACCTTGCACATGAAGCCGCTTGAACGCGGTTTCAGGATATCTGTGTTAGATGTCACATTGGGAACAACCATTTTGAGGACTACCCACTAACATCTCGAAACGACACGGATAGGCTGGGAATCTCAACTAAGGCGAAAGACTGTCGAAGGTTAAAAAGCCAAGGTTAGCAAAGGTAAAATACAGGAAACTATGTATAAAAATAAAAGTAAGGTAGGAAGGAAATGAGTTGCTTAAGGGGGATCATTATTGCTTGAAATCATTTTTACTAGCGCGCGTTGAGTTTCAGTGAGAGTTCGTTGCTTTAATTCATTCATTCATTGTGTGCGGGCTGAGATACTGCCCGGGCGCCCAGACCGAAGCAGGTGGTTTTATTAAGGGACCACCCCCCGAGCCTTTGACTTGGAGTCTAATCCGCAAGCCAGCGGAGCAGCGTCAGGAGCTGGATTCCCATGGTTGCCGGTGACCCATATGGGTTCATACGCCATTCGATCCGTTTGGAAACTGGAGCCCATGTACCCCATGGTAACTGCTTTTAGTTTAACCGCTATCCAGTAAACCTCCCTGACATGGTAGGACCTGTAGAGAAAGAGTCCCAGTCAGTTCAGCTTGTTGGGTCATTACGGTATTCAAGCCCGACCACCACGACAAGGTAGCAGTTATCGGCCGGGGAGAATTAATAAGGTTTCACAAGTATAAGAGTGAAACAGAATGAGTAATGGTAGAAAGAAATATGAAAGACTACAGAGACTGAATACATCTGCGCTGGCCATTGACAACGATTTTGAGCCATGTCCCCTATTGTCTCCAGCCATTGATTCCTAGAGTCCCGAGGCGTTGCCCCCAACCCGGGAGTCTTCATCTCCCTACCTGATCGACTCAGTTTAACTGTCAAGGACTTCATGGATTGATGAGGCCATGTTTTTGTTTGGCCACCACTTACCCTTTTCCAACCTGCACCTATATCAGCTAGTAATGCCCGTCGTCGGGGGAGGCGATGGTTAGGCATGCGCACCACGTGACCTAGCCATCTCAATCTATGTAACTTTATAGCGTCGTCGATTGATTTTCCCTCTTTGCCTGTTCAACACTCTACGCCTAACGTTAACATTACTTACCTTGTGAAACCACCTAACGTGAGAAAGAGATTGTAGACATCTATGATCAAAAACAGTCAACCTTTTCATGTCTTCAACTCGTATTGGCCATGTTTCAGAGCCATAGAGAAGGACGCAGAGAACTGTTAAGCAGTACACACGTCCCTTGGTTGATAGCCGGATGTGACGCCTCTGCCAGAGATGGTGTAAGTCAGCGAAAGCAGCTCGAGCTCTTTGGATCCGTGTTGAGATTTCGTCGCCAATCAGTCCGTTGGTGCTGATACAACTTCCCAAAATAGGTGAAGTGGTCAACATGTTCTATCACTTCACTGCCTATCCCTATCATGAGCTGACATCATTTAGAGAACCACTGGAAAACCTGGGAGTACTGGACAAGTGTTTCATCCTGGTTTGGGACTCTTTATCAGTACGCACCCCGTCGGGTGATGAAATCCTCCATGCAATCGAACACAATTGCCCTACAAAACCAATCAATACTTGAAAACTGAACACGGTTGTTGTTTTTTTATTACTTTCATAGTTTCTTCTTCCCTCATATTCCCTCCACACACATCTCTCCTTTGTTATCCAAGTGTGTTGTTTCTCTCATATCCTATGTACATTTCTTGTAAAAGAGGAACAGAAGTATCAGGTTTGTTGTTTTTATTTGCTTCTTATAACTCCAATTCATACCTTCTTTATTGTTTCACAAGCGGAGAGGGAACTTTTTCACTTCTTTGCACCTCAATTTGTCTCCTTACTATTTGAAATTCTTTCAGAAGATACTTCGAAATATTGCTATTATTATTAGGCATCTCCATTCTCCAGTCTTCTTTAGCTGGCTCCACGATTAATCATAAACTGTGTGACCCTCAGAAGCGCCGATTTCCTCTCTTCCCACTCGGGTTCCACTTGAGGTTATGCCTAGCTCGCGATGTCACTCAATGGTCTCCTTAGCGTGTGTCCAATACATTTCGTTGGGTATAATTTGTTGAGCAATCAATTATTGGTTGGTTCACTCTCAAAGTTTCTGGATATCTTATCTTCAATACAGAGAGAGAGAGAAGGGAACTGCTGATAAAAGTCTATAGCGGCCTGTTGGAAATGTTTTTCGTGAGACGTCGAGTCCCTAAACCATATAGAAGGACTTAATGATTTGATATTAGTGTTGAAAATTCGAATCTTGTTGTTTATGACTATCGCAGTAGATTTTTTGACACTGATTTCAGAGTTATTTATGAAGATCTGTCTTGCCTTTCCGATACTGTCTTTGACGTCTTTATCCGTGCCGATTGCCTGTAGTTTAAACGACGCTACCCTACATAAGTGAAACAACCGACTTCCTTCAAATGTTTCCTGTTGATAGTGAATGATGCCTGTTGTTGTTGTTGTTGTTGTTGTTGCTGGTTGCTTGGTTATCTTCATCACTTCTGTCTTCTCTATATTTATTTGAAGTTCTGTCTTCAAGTGCAAAACATACTACTTATAAATATGTCAGTAACACATACGCCTACTATCATCAATATTAGCTGACATAGGATGAAGTAAGAAAAGAGCACTGGTGGTCAAACCAAAACATGGCTTCATCAGTCCATCAGTGAATTCCACAACAGTTAGTTTAAGCCGGTGACGTAGGAAGGTGTAGACTTCCTGACTGGTTGGGGTCCTTGGAACGGTAAAAACCAATGAAGGCTGGAGACTATTGGTGATATGGCTCAAAGTCATCGTTTTCAATGGCTGGCGCAGGTGCATCCACTCCTTGTAACTTATCCAATAAAACTTAAATGTCTTTCGATAATACCATTCTTTTTTAATCATATCTTCGTTATTACTATTCCTTTGGCTCACGCCTCTGTTTACTGCCTCTATTATGCATTTCTTTACTTTCTTCTCTTGCTTTGTGTGCTGAGTGAAGTGTGGCGACTCGAACTTCTGCACATCAGTGCAAAGTTCTATGTTGAAACCAAACAGTCAGTCAGTTGGTCAGTTGCCAATTAACTGAGAATATTATTTCACTGCAACTACTTTTTGTGAATACAACAAGAGTAAATTCCGAGGTTTTAAAAAGAAATACTTGCAAAATGTAATATCAAATTTATTTACCTCATTGATTACACGAATCTCCAGACAATAGTTGTTTACGCCTATCCTGAAAAATGTTCCTAGCGTTTTTATTTTATGAAAAAAGTCTGAGGAAGCTGGAATTTATACAGTGAAACATTAGGTAAAAAGATCTTCTTTTGATTTTTTAAATAGACTGTGAATCTTGTAAAACAATCTTATAACGCTTAGTTGAGCATATTTGCATAGAACTACGTACTACTTATTAGTTGAGGTGAGTAGCTGTATACCACTCACATCAACCAGTAATGTTTGCTGGGCCGATCGAAGTTATCTAAACACCAGACGCTGGTCTCGGTCATTTGGGGGCCGAGCTCATCAGCGGTGTAATCGATTTGACTCAGCTCAGAGCCTGATTGGCTCAAACCACTTGTACCCAACTTGGGTCAAACTCAAGTTGCGTATTGAGCAAGTCACTATGCAGTGACCCAAGAATTTAAACTTCCTCTGACCGGCAATATATAGCATCACCAGCCCCACTATTGTTACCAACAAGTGTTTGTACTAGTACACAGGTTTCATTTTCTCATGGTAACTCCCAGGAAACCTATCCATGTTACTTTCAATGTGCGAAACTAGGACGAAACAGCTATCTAGTACTCTCTGGCTTTCAATGGTTGTCTAACCGATACTGGATCATGATGATATCTAACCTCAAAGTAATAAAATCTCTACTTGTTCAAATTACTTGAGCAGGCTTAGCTTTTGTAACTAACTTTAATGTAATTGATGAGAAATTAAACTTGGAATGAAGTCAGTGCCTCAGTCTCTTTTGCTTTTATTAGTTAATCTCCAGACGACTAATTCTACTCATGTTGTCTCTTCATCCCTAGCCATCCTGATTGTGATCATCCGCCTCATGATATTGTCTTTTCCCCTAGTCATCACTTTTCTACGTCTTAAAGTGGTTTGAATAGTCTTCAACACCAAACACTTACATTTTTTACGAGTTGATCATGGATTGATATGAGTTAGAGAAGTATTGAAAACCAGAGCTGAAGTACTGGACAGCTGTTTCATCCTAGTTTGGAAATCATCGGCAGTACACACCTACTGCCAGGGTTCGAACCGAGGACCATCCGGTTACAAGGTCCTAGATCCTGGGTTCAAACCCCGGCAGTGGGTGCGTGCTGCCGATGATTTCCAAACTAGGACGAAACAGCTGTCCAGTACTTCAGTTCTGGTTTTCAATGCTTTTCTAACTCATATCAATCGTGATCAACTCGTAAAAACACAACTAACCCTTACAAACCAAACTATAGAAAAAAAACCTACATTTTTATTTCTTGTGTTCCGAATCGAGTTTCAGTAGCGGTTTTGTTTTTACTAGGGTTAATTGCTGTCCTCTTGCCCAACCCTCTTTCTTTTTTCGGGTTTTTGTATTCACTAGTAAACTAGCCAGCGTTTGGCAATGTGTCGAGCATTAATCTCACCCAAAACCTCTACCACTAATGCTTATTGTTCAGTTTCGGGAAGTCTTTTTTTTGGCCTTACTTTTGTTTTGTTTTTGTCTTTCCTGTTATTTCTTTTTTTATAAAGGATGCCCTTGGAACATGGCAAAAGTGTGCTCATGCTACTGAACAGGCTATAGCAAAGAAATTATCTGTTGTAGTCGATAATACAAATATGGATGTTGAATCAAGATCACGTTATATTAAGATAGCTAAAATATGGGATATTCCAGTGCGTTGTTTTCTCCTGGAAACATCGTATGAACATGCTCAACATAATGAAAAAGTAAGTCTATTTTTTTGTCGACTTATTACTTATTCATGAAGTTTAAATGAGAAAAGCTGAATTACTTGTTGTTATTATAAGTTTCCAGACCTTAGGTGTTACGAATTTCCTGGAAGTTAATTGGTTACTTACAGTAGAATTCAAGATGTACATAATTCCTCCCTGGTTAGGACGGACTACTTTGACATTGGGATATAACAACCATCGCTTCAAACGTGAAAGCATTACTTGTTGAGCCAAGAGTTCCACTTCTTGTACAACGGATGTGATTTTAAATTCTATTCGTTCTAATTTGGTATCGATTCCGTGAGGAGGGGGTTGGGTATTTCAGCTGTACGCCACATACATGAATAGATAACTCGGCTATTACTTCTCTACATTCATAAAATACAATAACGAAGAAAGCACCTAGAATAGGCCTATTATTGATACGGTGATACAATAATAATATTGTAAGGCTACTGTTCTCACCTAATACTACTTCAAAGTAATTATTATTATTTCCTTTAATTCCTAGAGGAACATGGGGCTTCAGCCGCCCAAGTCTCCATTGCCTTCTGTTTTCTGCTAACTTTTTCACCCCGCTCCAAGTCTGCCCACATGCTTTCATCTCTTCTTCACATGACCTCCTCCAAGTTATCCTTGCACTGACGACCAACTCGCCGCTTCCCTGTCAGGTTCCACTCGAGCGATAGCCTGGCGTGTGATGTCACTTGATGGTTTGTTTTCTCAGAATATGGCCAATCCAGCTCCGTTTCTTCCTGCATATTTGCTGTACAACTGGTTCCTACTGGCTGGCTCGTTCCCAGAAATCCCTATTGCTGATCTTTTCTGGCCAACCATCTGATCTTGGGTATTGAGCGAAGACAACCGTTAATGAAGGTCTGTAGTTTGTTTGAGATGCTCTTTATGACGCGCTGGCCAAGTCTCTGATCCGTATAGTAGCACTGATTTCACAATGGAGTTGAAAATCCGGATCTTATTTTTGATGCTGAGTGCTGTTAACCTCCACACAGACTTAAGAGTAGTGAAAGCTTGTCTTACTTTTCCGATTCTTGCTTTGATATCCTCGTCAGTTCCTCCTGTAGTTGAAACGATGCTTCCCAGGTGGGTAGGTAAAGGAGGTTGTTTCTTTCAGGTTCTTCCCATTTATGGTGGCTGATTGTTGTCTGTTGTTGTTGCTGTTGCTGTTGGCCAGGAATCTTCGTCATCTCTGTCTTCTATATGTTCACTTGAAGTCCTATCTTTGATGCTTCTTGTGCCAGCTTGTTGCTTTTCATCACTTGCATATTTTCCAGTTTGTGGGAAATCAGACGTATGTCATCATCGGCGAAGTCCAGATCCTCCAAGATGTTTTTGTGTGAGTCCATTTTATGCCTGTCTCCTCATTGCCCGCCGCTGTCTGTCACATTATCCAATCCACTGCAATCAGAAAAATCATTGGAGACACTAGGCAGCCAGCCTTGCCTTATTCCTGTCCTCATTTTGAAGGATTCCGTAAGTTTCCCGGTGTGGATTCTTCAAAGTAATATGAAGTTACAAAATAAAAGATAATTCCATCGATCCCAATTAATTGTGGACACGCTACTATGGATCTACGGCTGATTATTTTTAGGAACTCAACTTTCTACCATTGAGTCACAGATTTGACTCTTCTTCATCTAAAACAATTAGTTCCCTTTATGAATTTAGATAAAGCCATAAGAAGATGTAATTTGTCGGAATCGTGCGTGTAATGCGTATTTGCGCAACACATTTTGAACAATCTGATCACACACACACACACGGACTTGTCATAGGAACGTGTATATATGGGAAGTCCGTTGGGGCCCCTCTTAGCAAATATTTATGTTTCGTACATTGAGAATTTATCAGACGATTTAATCGAAAATGTACCACTTTATAGAACGTATGTAGATGATATCGTAGTCATCAGTGATAAGCCTTGATCTGCCACCTCAATTTTAAATCGAATGAATGAAGTTCAGAATAGCGTATCACTTACATCTGTCCATAGAAGAGGAAGATAATTGTTTATCTTTCCTAGACATATTGCTTAGTCGACGGCTTGATGGGCCAATAAAAAAAGATCTATTTATAGAAAACCTACCTACACAGGACAGTATCTTAATTACCACAGTTTCTGCCCTTTTCGGTACAAAAGAGCCTTGGTGAGCGAGGTGCCTCTTCAGTAGAATCCAACGAATATGCACTGAAGACATGCTTGATGAAGAAGAAACAAAGTTGACATAAACTCTGGTTGATAACAGTTATCCAGACAAGTTCATGAGGAGATATAAAGTAGTCAGAACACCAAGACCCACTCTCCAACTCGCCCCTAAGAAAGACGTGTACATCAAGCTACCCTATATGAGGCATCAAAGCAGCTTGATAACTAGACAAAGACTGAACGCTTCTGTTAAAAAGGCTTTTTATGCAGCTAATATCATAATAATAGAGAATGTGAAGCGAATATATCTAGTTAAGCCCTTTCAACATGCGAAAAATGATGTCACATCCTACCGTATTTACCAATTTGAATGTACGTGTGGACACACATACATAGAAGGGAGGACTCATCGATCTCTACAAGTAAGGGCTTCAGAACATATTCCTAAATGGCTTCAGAAGCAAATAGAATCTTTAGAACCCATTAAAGGTGAGAACTGGAGACTTAGCTCATCTACTGCGTCGGTGGCACAGTGGTTAGGACTCTCGCCGACCATGCGCATGGTCCGGGGTTCGAGCCCACGCCGACGCACACTTGATATCTATGGTCGGCTGCGAATTTTGGGCTACCGATATCCATGCTGAAAATTCCATACTTGTACCAAAAATACGGTGTGGAATCAAGCTGCAATCAAAAAATTTTAAACGTGTTTGGGGCGTATCCTAAAGTTTGTAGAAGCCATAGCTGGCAATTAGAAAGTTTAAACCACCTCTATGCGATCAAAGCAACAATTCGTCATCACACTAAACCTACTTTCTTTGGTAACCTTTGTTTTATTACTAGCCATGGTAGATGTATTATTACCTGTGCTATTTGGTTTAGTGGTCTTCATTGTTATTTCGCCCTTCAATATGTCCTTTCAACTTGACCTAAGTAGTCTATTTTCTCACCTCTTCACTATTTATTAATTTCACATATATGTACTCCTATGACAAGTCCGTGTGTGTGATCAGATTGTTCGAAACGTGTTGCGCAAATACATAACACTCACGATACAGACAAATTACGTTTTCTTCATCTATCAAGATGCGCCTGAACCGTATAGAAATGTGAGCGGTTGTTGACCACTAACATTGACTGGTCGAATATGCTATTATATTCAACTATTAATAAGTTAGAAAACAAGAGTTGATCAAGCGCTGACATTAGTTAGCGAACCATTGGGAAACTTCTGAGTACTGGTCAGAGCTGTTTCGTCAGCCTAGTTTGTAGGCCGTCGAATGACATCGCGTTCCAGGCCATCGGTCGAGTGGAATCCCAATAGGAAGCGACGAGTGGGTCGTCGGTGTGTGACACTGACATGGAGGACATGGTGTGGAGAGGAGGAGATGTGTGATTGTGGTCAATCGTGCACACCCAATTGAAGAGAACATCAGAGAATAGAAGAAAGTGGAGATGTGTTGTTGAAGCGCTATGTTCCACTTGGAACCAAAGGAAATAGTTATAAAGCTAATAGTTTGGGACTCCTCATCTGTACGCACCCACGCTACTAGGGTTCGAACTCAGCATCCCTCGAGTACAAGGCGAACTCGTAGACCATTCAATCACTGGGATAGAGTACAATATCCAATTCGCGATGTATATTTAGCTCAACCGCTTAGGACTGTCAGATTCTCACTTAGGGGTCGGATGACACATGAACTCTATCCTGCATACGGTATTTAGTTCACATTAATGAATAGTTTGACAACACAGTTCTTTATTCTAAAAACCTTTTTTTCAAATCTTCATAACGTCTTCAGTTGTGATTATATATTTCACATGTATTGTTGTGATCATTCTCAATCATGTTTACTTGTTTATTTGTTGTTGTTGTTGTTGTTGTAACTTTTCCGATTGTTATTCTCTCTGCAGTTTCGTGCACTGACAAATCCATCCCATAAACCAATCAGCAGTATGGTATTCAGTATGATGAAGTAAGTTTGTCATACTTTTTTTCCTATATATATATATATATATATATATTGACCGCTTCACTTATTTAGGAAGTACCATCAGCCAGAGCCGACGAGTTGATCTCTGACGAAATCTCAACACGGATACAGAGGGCTAGTTTCGCATATGCCAGTTTACGCCGTCTCTGGCTTAGTAGACGTGATATCTGGCTGGCTATCGACCAAAGGGTGGGTGTACTGTTCAGCAGTTCGCTCCGTCCTCCTTTATGGTTGCTGGTGAGACCTGGCCATTGAGAGTGGAAGACATGAAAAGATTAGCTGTTTTTGATCATAGGTGCCTGTGTTCTATCTCCCGTGTGAAGTGGTACAATAAGGTGAGCAATATTGAGGTTAGGCGTCGAGTACTAGGTGAAGAGAGGGAAATCAGTCGACGAGGCTGTGAAGGTACACCGTTTGAGATGGTTAGGACATGTGTTACGTATGCCTAGTCATCGCCTTCCTCTACAATGGGCAATGTCAGCTGACATATTGTTAGGCTGGAAAAGAGCTAGCAGCGGTCAAACCAAAACATGGCTTCACTAGTCAATGAAACCCATAACAGTTAGTTTAAGCCAGCCAAGTAGGAAGGTGTAGACTTCCTGACTAGTTGGGGTCCTCGAGACGGTAAAAACCAATGAAGGCTGGAAACAGTTGGTGATATGGCTCAAAATGATCGTTCTCAATAGCTGGTGCAGATGCATCCACTCCTTGTGACTTAGGATTTCAAATAAAACTATATTGTTCTTCGGTATTATTTTTTTTATTGTGCGTCGGTGACACAGTGGTTAGGACTCTCGCCGACCATGCACATGGTCCAAGGTTCGATCCCCTGCCGACGCACACCTGATATCTATGGTCGGCCTGAGAAATTTGGGCTACCGATATCCATGCTGAAAATACCATACTTTTATTAAAAATACAGTGAGGAATCAAGCTGTAATCAATATATATATATATATATATATATATATATAGTTCTCCGACTTCTCTTCAGGAGTTGCTTTCATGTGAATCAGTATTCTCTGTGACACTGCATAGTTGAAATGCTGCTACTTTGTTTACCTTCCGGTGTATTCTGCTTCTTTTTTCTCACTCCTAATCGAACTAGACTGCTTCAGTGGTGGTGTTCAGTGGTAGAAAATAAAAGGCAACCACCCCTCACATGGTCCGGGATTCGATCCTTGGTTAACAAACCCCCATAAATCAGTATAACCGCGTAGTAAGCGTGATGAAGAAGGAAGGCGGTTGAACGTGTGGCTAACAACTTCATCCTGCAAAAAGAGAAACACCACAGACACTGTAACTTCAAATCTGAAGCTTGAAGTCCAATATGTTCCACTGGGAATGTAAAGTAACGAAATGATAATAATTGATTAATCCAGACTGAGTAGAGAGAAGGCTTGACATGGTTGGTTAGCACTACTTACCGAAAGGTAATGCTTAGTAGTTTCTTTTTTTTCTAAAATATACTTGGTTAGCATATCTATCAGCAGATGTAGTACTTATCCAAAGTGTTTAGTCTTCGATATAGTAAGTAATAGTACAGTTTGGCGTAGGATGAGTTCAAGTAGAAAAGAGGCTCTATTGACTAAAGTGGCGATGACCACCCGTGTTACACTGTCTTCTTTGAATCGTAGCTAGCGTTAGCTGAAGTGTAATGACTCAGTATTAGAATGCTGTCTAACCACATAGAGAAGGTCTGGGTCTGATTCTCGGTCGACAGACTCCTTTAGTGCCAGCAGGACGAGGAAAAAAAGGAAAAGTTGGATGTGTGTAAGGCTAGTAACTGCATCCAGTGAAAGCAACACCCGCCCCTAGCAGCGACATTTGAAAACTCCACTCAAAACTCAGGGAATGTAAAAGAAAGAAGTCTTAAGGTTGGGAAAGATGTAGGAGCTTTCACTAGCTATTACTTCCATCCTCCTAAAGAAAGGTCTGACTGCTTATATGAAGTCTACAAACAATAGGCTTCGGCCACCTACTTAACCAGAAGACTTTTGTCCCAAAGTTTTACCACACCAATGACATTGACTTCAAAACGACTACTGTTGTGGTTTCTTTTTGATATTGAAACGATATTCAAATAGTACATTACAATTTTTATGGTAAATACTGTATATAAATTTACATTTACTTACGAGTAGGTTAAAGTCTCAACTTCTGCAATTTAACTTAACTAGCCATACGACAAATGTGTAGGCTACGATGTTATTTTACTCGACTGCGACGTTGCCAGATGGGGGGGCGGGCGATTGTGAATACACTTCTGATGACGATGTGATGATTCCTGCAAATTCCAAAGCAATAATGAAAACAAAACCCGTAAATCAGCGAAGAGTCTCTTTTCGGCGAATTCATTTTCTTAGCTGTACAATCTCAAATATATATGTGTTATTTTGTATGTATGTGTACATTAAGTTGGTCAAACAAAATTACAATTGGTTAAGGTTATTTTAACTAAACAGGTGAAGATTGGTAATAAAAGTCAAGAAAATTAGATGTCAATGAAACTAGGGATAATATATTTGCGATTGCACAGCTAAGAAAATGAATTCGCCGAAAAAGAGAGACTCTTCGCTGTTCTACGTGTTTTGTTTTCATTAATTCCAAAGTAAGCACAACAGCAAGGAATTAGTATTGACACACACACAAGCAGTTGCGTAGAGTAAGAAGACTCGGCAACAACTAATTGAGTTTATATTTTTGATTGGACATTAGTCAATAACTAGTGCAACGTGGACATCATGCCACTAGGTGGCTTCCTGTTGATTGCCTCCGACCATCCAAAAACCAACAATTTACAGTGTACCGTAATGGCGAGTCGCCTAGTGGCATGGGGGCCTGATATGTATCCACATAATATGTGTGTGTTGGTTTTTGACAGTCTGTTATATTTTGCTATGTATATATGGATCGATATTCCATTATAATTGACAATATGTTTTTGTCTGTCCACTAACTAAACAAACATGTCTGACCTTGTTGTCACATGACATTACAACCAATCAAGTTAAGACCGTCTATTGATTCGTTCATTTTTGAACATTCGCTCATACACTTGTGTGACATTGATTTTTTCCTTGTTTAAATAATATACAAGTATCATCGTGAACCTGGTAGTTTTCTGATTTCGGCCTTCTTGCGTCAGGACTATTAATTACTCGATCAGTACATAACAGGGCCACATTGCAAACCTGATTGATAGAATGCAGTCTATACCGGGATAGGACTAGACACGTTACACTAGTTACTGACTAGTGTCCAATCAAGAAAATCCAATACAGTCCTACAGGAGGTTAATTAAGAGCCTGAACGGCTCAGTGATAACGTTTCTGACTCACTGAAGCGCTGGTTGACGCAGGTTCGAATCCCAGAATAAGGGACATGAGTTCCTTCAAGGCGATTGCAGATACGCCTTGCTGACTGTTGAGTCCCAACTAGTACGAAACCTAGGTGGTGTCCAAGGCTTCCTGTAGCCGATTGCCTCCAACTATCTGATACTAAGTGAGTCTATATTTCAAAGTAACGAAAAGTCGTGTTGTTGTTTTACATAGATGTCGATTAAAACAAATAAATATTCGAAATGTTTCATTTTTTTTGTCATTCGACTAAAAAGTGCACAAAGTCATCACTCTGGGCTTTACAGACTGACTCATAGTTCGGGGGTTGAAAATTCACCATACTTTCCTTCGCATAGATCGCTTAATACTGTGAAATGCCAGTCAAGAAATCAAGCAAAATAACACGATGATATATAAATACAAACTATCGATTGATGTAAATGTCTGAGTACTATTCAGATCACTATCACATTATGCTTGCTAGCCGAATCGAAGTGATTTAAACACTCAATAATCGTTTCGATTATTGCCGGTGGAAGTGACCAGCGGTTTTAACAGGGATATAGACTCAACTCAAAGAATCGAACCGTGCTGAATACATACATACATACATACTCGTGTTTCTCATGACTTCTTGTCAAGTTATTGATATATGTAAAGAAAACTTGGGCACCGTGGTAGAGTATAACTCCATTATGGATAAAACTTTATTTTGATAAAATCACACGGTGTTAAACAGTGATATTTACTGATGACCACCTTTCGAGCACAATTTATTACTGCGCATAATCATATCAAGTCACTACTCACACAACTTTCTGGCTTCATTTATATACATGAGTAAAAATTGATGTTTAGACATTTGATTAAAATCAATATAATAAGATGAAGTACGTTTGGAAACAATAAGTGTTGTCAATCAAATATAATGAGATGGGAAATAACATGTTTTTATGGTAGAATAAGTAAATAACTTGTTAGAATGTTACAATGTGAATTGAATACATTTTGAGATTATTTATTGTCCTCTGATTCGACTGGTGGTAATCATATCTTCCATCTCTCTAGTAGTTGTGCTGAGTTACTTCTATTGCATATGTTGGGTATAGATTGGATGAACCAGGCTGGATTCAGTAATCAATCTCTCTCGCTCTCCACCTACCTATATTACTTTATAGAATTTTGACTCTGTCCCTCCCACGCTTTTGTGTGGTTGTGTGTTAATGCTGCATGCACTACGATTCCTGAGTCTTGTTTTCGAAATTACTCATCTGTCTTCGTGAGGATCAATCATTCTAACCGTAGTCACTAAATTTCTATGTTATGATAATCTCAATACTCCCGATCTACTAGTTTGACCCATGTAGTTGACCTCAATCAATCACAGTCATTGCAAGGTACTTTGAAAATTACATTATTTTGTTTGATCGGGAAAACAAGAAATATAGGGCTTCAGCTGCGCGTCTCCATTGCCTTCGGTTTTCTGCTAGAGTTTTCACCTGGCTCTAAGTCTGCCCACATGCTTTCATCTCCTCTTCTTTCACATGATCTCCAAGTTACCCTTGCACTGACGGCCAAATCGCCGCTTCCCTTTCGGGTTCCACTCGAGAAACGGCTTGTCTAGTGAAGTCACTCGATGGTTTCCTCAGAGTATGGCCAGCCAATCCATCTCCATTTCTTCCTGCCTATTTGTTTGACAATCGGTTCCTGCTGGTTGGTTCGCTCATTGCCAGAGATCCCTGTTGGTGATCTTTTCTGGCCAACCATCTGATCTAGAGTGGTATTGAGCGACGAAAACTGGCTGTTGATGAAGGTTTGTAGTTTGTTTGAGATGCTCTTATGACGCGCTGGCCAAGTCTCTGATCCGTATAGTAGCACTTTAATTGGGTTTAACGTACAGCGTCCTCTAGCCTACAGAGCTTGTCATGCCTGAGTTAGATTGTAGGTTTGAATGCCACCCATATTCTTGTATTTCATTGATAACATTATTATTTTACGAGTTGAGCACAGATTGATATCAGTTAGAGAACCATTGAAAACCAGAGCTGAAGCACTGGACAGCTATTTCATCCTATTTTGGGAATCATCGGTAGTACACACCCACTGCCAGGATCTTCCGGTTACAAGGCTTGTATACCATTCAGCCACTGGAACCCCATTCGACGGCCAGTGCATGAATTCTAACTTCTACCGACTCGTGATTTAGCGCGACCACCAACCAATATCGTCGGCGGGACATCCATCCTCACATGGACCTCACTGGTCATGACTTCTTACTACAACTCCAGGAAACTCCATTCTGTAGCAAGTCACTAGCAAGCATCAGATTAATTTTTTATAGTTTGGTTTGTCCTTTATCTTATTATATTGATTTTATTCAAATGTCTAAACATCAATTTTTACTCATGTATATAAATGAAACAAGAAAGTTGTGTGAGTAGTCCCTTGATATGATTACAAGCTGCAGTAATAAATTGTGCTGGAAACGTGCTCATCAGTGAATATTACTTGTACAACGCTGTGTGATCTTGTCAAGTTAATTCGAAATAACAAAATGATAATTTTGTTTAATTCTATGTCTACTTTGTCTATGCTTGTGCTGTAACCTTTATTTTGTCTTCTCTCTCTCTCTTTTCCTTCCTGCCCCTCGACCATCCAATGCCTCTATCTGACGTTCCGATCCCGTCTTTACAGATCGAAATATCAGGAGCCGACTGTGCAAGAAGGTTTTCATGAGATATTAACTATCCCTTTTATACTAGATATAAATATGCAGCATGCTGCATTGTATTGTAAATATTTATTAGAAAAGTAGCGCTGAACACGAGTGTAAAGAGATTATAAGCTATCGTGTCAGTTTTTTTTTACCTGTATTCAATTCAACCTCGGTGTGCGTTGTGTCGTGTCGTGTCTGAGTGCCTGTGTGTGTGTGTGTGTATCTGTACGTCTTTTAATTTTGCAACTGGGAGTGGCATCTATTTTCTTTCTCTATGAGTTTACTGTACTTCTTGTTATTTGCATACTAACATTGTACATAATTTTGTTTATTACAAGATAATAATTGAAGATTATTCACTTGGAAAATCAATAATCTAAAAGATCAATAAACAATAAAATATATATGCATATATTATATTTCTCTATTTCACTTGTTGTTTTATTACTTGTTACCCTTGTTCATTCAAGTTGGTTACTGTTCAGTTCTCTCTCGTTAATGTTTTGATGTAGTCTTAATGTTGATGTTGTCGCGTGTTGTGTGCACCTATGAGGATATGATTGAATTTGGTATAACTCTATTGCCCGAAGAATAGACGTCTCATAGATCAATCAGACTATATTAGCTATCCTGTAATTGTAGAAATCGATTGGTTTCAATGCGCCACCCTAGTTAATTCCAGCCTCTGATGTATGTTCTTTCTTTATGCAGTACTACTACTACTACTACACGTAGAGGCTTTGAATTCTCTATCATTTTTTTGTCATTTTCATCATTAATCTCTTCTCTTCACATACATTTCTGAATAAGTTCATTGCGATTCTCAATGAGGCTGGCATTAGGTTGGTATTTAAACTAACCAACCAACTAACTAACTCTCTCAGAGATAAGCTTTGTCGACTTATTATTATTATATCCTAGAGGAACATACGGCTTCAGCCGCCCAAATCTCCATTGCGTTCGGTTTTCTGCCAACTTTTTCACTCCGTTCCAAGTCGGCGCACATGCTTTCATCTTCTCTTCTTTCACATGACCTCCTCCATGTTACCCTTGCAATGACGACCAACTCATCGCTTCCCTTTCGGGTTCCACTCGATCGATGGTTTGTCTAGTGATGTGACTTGATGGTTTCCTCAGAGTATGGCCACCAATCCATCTCCAATAGGTTCCTGGTTGGTTAGTTCCCTCCCAGAGATCCCTGTTGGTGATCTTTTCTGGCCAGCAATCTGATCTTCAGTAATGAGCGAAGACAGCTGTTAATGAAGGTCTGTAGTTTGTTTGAGATGTTCTTCATGACGCGCTGGCCAAGTCTCTGAACCATATAGCAGCACTGACTGACTTCACATTGGAGTTGATAATCCGGATCTTATTTTTGATGCTGAGTGCTGTTGACCTCCACACGGACTTGACGTGGGTAATGAAAGCCTGTCTTGCTTTTCCTATTCTTGCTTTGATATCCTCGTCAGTTCCTCCTGTAGTTGAAACGATGCTTCGCAGGGGGTTAGGTAAAGAAGGTTGTTTCTTTCAGGTTCCTCCCATTTATGCTGGCTGATTGTTGTTTGTTGCTGTTGACCAGGAATCTTCATCACCTCTGTTTTCTCTATGTTCACCTGCAGTCCTTGCTATCTTTGATGCTTCTTCCGCCAGCTTATTGCTTTTCACTTGCATATCTTCCAGTTTGTGGGAAATCAGACATATATCATCGGCGAAGTCCAGATCCTCCAAGATTTTTGTGTGAGTCCATTTTATGCCTGTTTCCTCATTGGCCGTTGTCTGTTACATTATTCAATCTACTGCAACCTGGAAAATCATTAGCGATAATAGACTGTCTTGCTTCACTCCCGTCCTCATTTCGAAGGATTCCGCAAGTTTCCCATTGTGGATTACTTGGCATGCAGCATTGTCGTAAAACTGTTGGATGAGATGTATAATTGTCCGTGGCACCCCGTAGTAGCAAAGTAGTTGCCAAACGACCTCTCGATCGACGCTGCACCATCGAAGGTCTTTTCAAAGTCGATGAAGTTGAGATAGAGAGGTGACTGCCATTCCAAGATTTGTTCAATGATGATCCGTACAGTGACCCGATAGATCCAATTAAGAAAAATATAACACAAAATAATTGAGCAAAGAATATCCTTTTCGATATATTCCTCTTCCGGCTCTACATTTATATATATGCATGTTTATATATATAGAATATTCTAGATTAGTAGTCAATAACAATATTAGTGTTTTTTTTTAAATAATATCGATTTGTAAAGTAAGATATCAATTTCGCCTTAAGAGTTCGACTACTAAATATTGCTGAGGCTGACTGTTGGGATCCATATTAATAAGCCTAATTTGTGCGTCCAAACGAAGTTAGTTCAGACATGATCCTTACCGCTTTGCCACCTAGGTTTGAATGATCCTGAATTTTCGTGGAATTTTCCTAATTTTAGTTGACATTCTACTTGCAACTATATCTTTATTATTATTATTATAATTTAAGCATCTTTAATGAACTGTGGTAATTCCATTGTGATCTTACTTTACAAATCGATATTATTTAAAAAACACCAATATTGTTATTATGAAAATAGCCAACCAACAGCAACATCCAGCGAAAATCACCATCAACAGGAGGGATTTGAAAGAGGTTACTTCATTCACTCACTTATCTAGCATTGAGCATTGTCTCAACTACAGGAAGTCGGAACGGACGAGGATGTCAAATCGAGCGAGAATCGGGAAGGCCAGCGAGAAACACATTCACTCATCAACCTGAAACCAATGTGGAAATCTTAGTCACTCAGCCAGCATCAACAACAAAATTCCGTCGGATTTTCAATACAAACGTCAAGTCAGTCAGTTCTTCTGTACGGATCAGAAACTTAGTGGGCGGGTCACAAAGAATATTTCCAACAGCCTGTTGCAGACCTTTATCAACCAACAACTGTCTTCGCTAGATCTATACTGAAGATCAGATGGCCGGACCGGGAAGAATCACCAACAATCAACTAAACTATGGGAACAGACAAAACAAGAAGAAACCAATCGCCAGCCAACAAATATGCAGGAGAAAGTGGAGTTGGATGGATTGAATACTCGCTGAGGAGGCCGTTGGGTGACATCGCGCGCGCGTCAGGCCATTGCTCGAGTGGAACCCGGAAGGGAAGCGGCGCGTGGGACGTCGGTGTAAGGGTGACATGGAGGAGATCGTGTGAAGAGAGAGGAGTTGAAAGAGTATGGACCAACATGGATGCAGGTGAAAAGTACAGGGGAAGAAAACAGAAGTGGCAAGTGGAGACGTGCAGTTGAAGCCTTATGTTCCACTAGGAACCCAAGAGAACATTAACAATAATATAAATATTATTATTGACTACTAATCTAGAATATTCTATGTATATAAACATGCATATATAATTGTAGAGTCAGAAGAGGAAATTATCAAAAAGGATATTCTTTGCTCGATTATTTTGTGTTTTATAGATGTCTGAATGAATATTTTCGCTATAAGAAAAATAATATAATCTACCAAATACTGTGTGATGCCTGTTAGTGAGGTCAGTTACATAGGCCAGTGAAGCTAGTCGTTCGGGGTCAACTAGTTTATTGAAACATTACCAAAATTTAGCTAGACGTCCAGAATGACTGATCCCTGATAAGTTACATAACCTAGAAAAGAAGCCCAGCCATTGTATTGCATTCACTTGCATTTAGTTACAAAATAGGATGGATTGGACAAAGTGAGAGTGTTAAAAAGAGTAATACAGTTAGGTGGAGACAAAGAGAGCGGTTAATCACTGAATTTTTGTTTGTCGATTCAACACCAAAAACGTGCAACTGGAATGACGTAACGCCTATAACCATGGACATGGGAAGTGGCAACAACTAACATGAGGAAGCTGGAGAAAGAGAGAGACAACTTGAGAAGCTGTATGACTAAACTGACATGGTTACGAATGGTAATAATATGTGCTCGAAACGTCATCCACTTGTCAATACTGTGTCACTGTGTGCTATTTAAGATAAACTTATCTAATATGGTACTAGGCATACAAATTGTATGCAGCAGTTTGTGTGGTATTTGGTAACTTAAGTTATCTCTGGCGTAGACATGATATCCTGCTGTCGATCAAAGGACATGTGTAATGCGGAGCGATTCACTGTGTTCTCCTTTATGTCTGTAAAGTACGGCCATGAAAGTGAAAGATATGAAAAGACCAGCTTTCTTTGACCATAGATGTTTGCGTTCTATCTCCCGTGTTAAGTGGTAGAAAAGGTCAAGTAATGGTGAAATTTAGCGTAGAGTAGTGCTAGGCAAGAAAGGGAAGTCAATCGATGAGGTTGCGAAGCTACATCAATTGTGAGATGGTTAAGACACGTGCTACGTATCCCAAGCCATCGCCCTTTTCGTCGACAACTTTTAGCTGACATACAATTAGGTTGGAAAAGAGTTAGGGATGTTAGATGGTTGGAGGCAATCGGCAGGAAGCCCTACCTGACCTAGGTTTCGTGCTAGTTGGCCCTCAACAATCAGGAAGAAGTATCTGCAACCGCCTTGAAGGAACTCATATCTCTTCTGAGATTCGAACCCCTGTCACCCTGTGCCAACAAATACGTCACTCATCGCTGCAGTGAATCAGAGACGTTACCACTGAGCTATTCAGACTCGTGATTGACCTCCAGTAGGTGGTGGTGGTGGATATTTTGATTGGACACTAGTAACTAGTATGATGTGTCTAGTCCTAGGTCAATCGCGAACCCGAATAGCTCAGTGGTAACGTCTCTGACTCACTGCAGCACTAGTTGACGCTGTTTCGAATTTCATAAGGGACATGAGTTCCTTCAAGGCGGTCGCAGATACGCCTTGCTGACGAGTTACAACTAGCACGAGACCTAGGTGAGGTAGGGCTGCTTCCTGCCGATAGCCTGCAACCATCTATTATCAACACTTCACACTGCACCGTAATGGCGAGCCACCTAGTGAAATGGTGGCCACATTGCAAACTTGACTGATAGATTTCAGTCTGCACCAAAGAAAGGACTAAGCACTTCACATTAGTTTCTAGTGTCTGATCAGAGTCAGGAATGGTTAACACAAAACTTGGCATCTCTTCATGAAGTCTCTGACAGCCGGTTTGAGACACAGGGTGCTGTTGACTGCCTGACTGGGATCCTCATTGGCTCAGACGCATTCACTGTTTACAATCAATCACACAGATCCACTACTAAATCCTGATTTTGCTCCATGTTATTATTCTCTGTCGCATATATTTCTGCTGATTATAGGTCTTTCGATTGGTTTCTGTCTTTCTCTGCTTCTGTGTGCTACATCGAGTATGGCTTAGACTGAAGTTCGTGGAGTTGGACTCAAAGTTGATTGCTTATGCCAATCTGTCACAACTCCACAGATAGATAATTGGATGGACTACTGTTATTGATGGCCTTTTTCAATTAATTTGCGTGAATTCATCCTTTTTTCTATGTCCTAAGAAACAGTGTATGTGCACAGTTATCAGGGGTTGTGCACATACCGAAGGGGTTGAGTTTTGACTACTTATCGACAAGGCATTTTTATAAGAGCATCCTAAGTGACAAACTTACTTTTGACTTAATAGTTAGGCCTTTCTTTCATGAATGAAATTCATCACACTGTTGGTGTTTGTCTTATCAGTTCAATTTAAACCTAGCTGTGTATGCTTAGTGGAAAAATGAATACATAGAATACAAACTGTGTTTGCAGTGATTTATAACAGAATTGACTCCAGTAACCTAAACACGTTAAGTGATACCTGGAAGAAAGCCCTCAACACTAACGAGGAGTTGTTAAAACTCACTAATCCAGAATAAACTTCTCATGTACCCGCCACTGACCCTTATTGTGTAAGGGGGCTGATAATACCACTTTGTTGCTCAAGCTGAGATGGGTTTCGAACTCTAGACCCATTAGTCTAAAATCGAGATGAATGGTTAATAGGGTTCCATTGCAAATACAGGTCATTAAAGTATAAAGATTAACACAATGGAAATAGACAGGTCAAACACATTCACCAAACTGTGTCATATACACATTGTTGATTCGCGATGGATAGTTTAGACAAGGTAACAAATCTCATCTATCAGATTTGAATATAAAATGGCTTCATCTTCCGTGGTGATACTAGATATGATAGGGAAGATTCGTAGCTCAGGTGGATGATTTTGTTTTAGTGGTTGTGTTCTCTGAGCTGGATAGTTAATTTGCAAAGCTTTCATCGCCCTTCATATAAGAATAAGACTTGTGCACTGTGGTAGAGTATAATTCCATTATGGATAAATTTTGTTTTCCAGTATACAATTTGAATATACCCTACCTACCAGTATACAATTTTGAATCCAGTATACAATACTGTTTCACTGTGTGATACATTTAATAATCAAACTAATATGGAATTGTTTTGATAAAGTCTCACAGTGTTATACAGCAATGTTTACTGATGACGTTTCGAGTGCAATTTATTGCTCATCACCCTACTAGGAGACATCTTCAGCGCATACTTCAATTTGAAGTGAGCTTTCAGATTTCTCCACGAGTTTTTTAATCATCTCTCCTGGTGGGTGACCATGGACGTGATTGGTTGTTTTTATGTGTTTTCACACATTCTAGGTTACTTATATTGGAACTGATTGTTTCTTTGAATTGAACTTTGACCCTTTGTGTGTTAGGTTTCTTTCTTAACGGTTGATAAGTTTTGTCTATCTCGATATGTTTATTGATTGATGATTCACTGGAATGCCAGGCAGGCTTCTAAAAATTCTCTAGCATTCTTGTTGTTTCCTCTGTCTAATATTTGAATGTTGGTTGTCCCAGTCGAATTGACGTCCGTGGTTGTCTGTGTGTAGTGATATGGGGGAGTGGATATCATGTCTTTTGACGGCTAGCTTATGATCGTGGATATCAAGACGAAGGGGACGTCCACTTTGGCCAATGTAGTGTCTTTCTCAGTTGTTACAATTTATTTTGTAGATGATGATGGTTTTATCTTCTTTCGTTGTTGAGTCTTTTGGTTGACATAGAGCTGAGTGAATTGATTTTGTTGGCTTGTGTGCGACGTCAATTCCTAAAGGTTTTAAGAGTCTTGTAGTGATTTCTGAGTTATATGTTATGTATGGTAGGGCGATTTTCTTTGTTATTCAAGTGCTGGTTTGTAGGGATTTGATTGGTTTCAGGATTTCATCATGAGCTGACATTAGTTAGAGAACCATTGGGAAACCTGGGAGTACTGGACAGCTGTTTCGTATTAGTTTGGGACTCTTCATCAGTACGCACCCACCGCCAGGGGTCGAACCCAGGACCTTTCGGTTACAAGGCGAGCCAGCTCGTATACCATTAAGCCACTGGGATCCGATCCAATGGTCCTTGAATTCTAAATTCTGCCAATTCACGACATAGCGCGACCGCTAGCCGATGTCTTCGGCGAGTATTTGTCCTCACACCCGACCAGCTGCACCCTACTGGTCATGACTTCTCACTGGAACCCAGGTAACTACCCTACCTACAGAATAGGGCCAGTCGCCAGTGAGCATCTTTATGCTTTCCTTGGGGGCTTTTGGTATGACAGGTTGGCTTGGGATATATTTCTCTTGATGAAATTTCGTGGATATCCATTCTTTTGGAATGCTTATTCTTTTGCTGATACTTATAGTACTCGAAGTGATTCTTATCAGAATCAAGTCTTCTAAAATGAATAAATAGGAGTCTACTTACTGATAGTATGTCTAGATTATAAATGGAATCAAATACCTCTAATAGCCAGTTATACATAACAGGCTCTCTCTCTCTCTCTTCACTGGTGTGTAACGAATGGCACGTAAACAGTTCTTGATGTTGTTGCTCACTGAATTCTCCCACTCGGTTTGCAGTTTAATATCACCAATCTGGGAGAATCTCCATCACAATGCACTTTTTCAACTAATGTTAGGTGGTTGGAACAATTGACATAAGGCTGAGAACCTATTTAGTTTTCGCGCTTATTAGTACTGATCAGTAAGGCGTATCTGAGTATTCCAACTATTGGCGAAAATAACACTTGAGTTTGACTGAACAGTGTCACTTTCACCTTAATAAACCATTCATGTTGCTTAGGGATAATGTTTCTCGTAGCAAAATAAGATCATGGGTTTGAATCGGAATTCATCTGCCAGTTTGAATATGCCTAATTAAAATCAGGCTTCTAACCTGCCAATTGAAAACCTTAGCTTCTAAACATATGCATCGGTGGCACAGTGGTTAGGACGCTCGCCATCCATGCACATTTGGTGAGAGCTGTCTGCTAGCCAAAATTGGTAGACACTAAGCAATTTACGTCGGTGTTTACGTCCTAGGAACAAAGAATCAATCAAAAATCAATCACAGCAGACTTTGCGTAGGCGGATACGAGTCGCAGATATATGGTCTGACCTTCAAAGAGATGGAAAAAAAGAGATAACAGATTAACAAATCAGAAGACGCTGTTTCTCTGGTAATAACAACGAATAATAATGTACATAAAAATCTATAAATATCTGTTGACTTCCTCAATAAACGATCTGTTGCTTGGCCCTTGTCTTCTGTCGTTGCACATATGGTCATGGGCTCGATACCCGGCTGACGCACCCCATAACCTCTCTAAGCCAGTAATAAAGCTAGTAAAGAGGAAAGATTGGGCATATATTGTAAAAATAAACACTGCTACAGAGACTTCAAGCCTCTAACTTGAAGCCGCCCTATGTTCCACTGGGAACATGAAGGAATAAAAAAAACAACTTCTAAACATGCAACCGAGTCGTCTTTAACTGACTCCATGATTATCCATAAGATGTCATCTCTCCCTCCATGGTGTTACACTGGAACGCCTAACTGGTAGCTTCTCATTCAGGTTCCACTCTAGCAAATGACCTCGCACGCGACGTCTCCTCAAAGTGTGTCCGATCGATCTTCATTTTCTTCTACATATCTGTTGAGCAATAGGTTCTTGGTCGGTTGATTCCTAGAGTTCCTTGTTAGCTGCTAATTCTTTCTGGCTAGCTATATGAACTTCAATATGGAACCAGCGAAGAAGACAGCTGTTGATAAAAGACTTCAACAAGCTGTTGGAAATGCTTTTCGCGACGTGCGCGCTTCAACTTTCTCACCTATATATATAAGAAGTGACTGACTTCACATTAGTGTTGAAAATCCGAATTCTGTTCTTAATCCTGAGTTCAGAAGTTCTCCAAACTGATTTCAGAGTGATGAGGGTTTGTGTTGCCTTTCCAATTCTGGTTTTGACATCATCATCCATGCTGTGTGCCTTTAGTCGAAACGATGCTTTACAGCTAGTTAAGTGAAGGAAGTAACCCTCTTCAAATGATTGGCTATGATTACTGTTCTTGATTAGTTGTCTACACACTTCCACTTTGGAACGATTACATACAGAAATCTAATTATATAAGTAACTAAAAGATATTCTGAACACTTCTGAGTAAGACATATTTTCCTGATTGAGGGAGGTTAATTCACCTTCCTGTGGCTTGTTCAGTATGTCAGCTTCAGTCAGTCAGTGCATATTTTTTCACTGAAATTCTGTTTCCAGGATACTAAGCTAATGACTATCTCAGTAAAAAATGTTAGTGAAAGTAAGACTTGTGAAGTCTTATAACGTACCAATCAAAATCGGGACACACTAGTCCCTGAATTCAATAACTGTTAGTCTGAAGTGAACAAATAAGACTGAATAGCTTTCATAAATCAGAAATCTAGTAAGGATAAAACTAAACAGTTGAAGACCTCAGACGAAATGATTTTTATCATCCTTGGAATCTGGAGGAGATATGTAGCTTAGGTGGATGATATTGATTGATATAGCTGGGTCCTCTAAACTAGATGGTTTGATCGCGGATGTTTCATTATCCTCCTAGACAACCTCTTCAGTGTATACTTCAATATGAAGTGAGGTTTCAGAATTTCCTACCAGTTTATTAGCCATCTCAGGTTAACCGTGATGGATAGCCGGTAAACTCGTGTAGAATTCTAGGAGTATGTACTGATGATGTTGCCTATAAAGACAACGAAACATCTGCAAATAAACTCATCCAGCTCGGAGTACACAACATGTTTATATCTCTGATTGACTGTGATACAGCAATGCAACCTTGCTGTTACCAATGCTTTTGAAACTATTCCATGATAGTATGTTGGCGAAATATACGAGCTTTGTAAATGAAAATTTTAGGATATTTATTTTGAGATCACTGTTGATGACACAGATACATTAACCTATTCGCTGAAAATTCTTAAGCACCTTTCCAACGCGTATCCATATCACCACTATTTTATGTGTTCAGTCAAATCTGTGACTAAATTTAAAGTCAGCCATATCCCTATGTAACTCACTTCTTGATAATTAATTCACTGTTCATAAACTCCCGGAGTTTTCACAAGTCATCACCATGAATGCCCACCATGTCTAGTGTGAAGTCAGATAGTCACCAATGACACTAGATGGTGGCGACACTATATATATATATGACGAATTTACAAAAGTCATGAATGATGATTAATTTGATTTCAACACGTCAATTGTGAAGTCGATGGACTTGTCTCGTTACCTGACAATCATAGTTTCTAATCACTACTATTAATGTGGTTACAGGTGTGTAGTGCTTAAAAGTTTGAAATTAGAATGAAACAGATGCCGAGTTCCTCATTTTTCTCAGTGGTTCTCAAACTAATATCAGTGCGTGATGGAGTCTATCCTGAAATCAGTCTAAACCCCCTACAACCCAACACTTGAAACACTTTCCATATCATAAAAGGAAGTTTAAGTTCTATACGGATCACTGCCTTAAACACTTTAGAGATTACAGCTACTATTTTAAATATTAGCTAACACTGATTTACACCAACAAACAGCTACTAACAGTCTCACTGAAAATATCCATTCTAATATTAATTTGTTTATTAGATGGATATATATCACACAGTTAAACATTATCACTGTTTACTGGTTGTCAAGGTTTTGAACACAATTCATTATTGTTCATAATCATATCGCCAATTATAACTATACAACTCAGAAACTTTCGTTTTATAGTTTCCTTTATTCCCACCTATTCGTCGTAGGGGTAGTAGAATTTTCCAGATGTTCGGATGCACAGGGGTTGGGTCATTCCTATTACACGTACTCTCTTCAGTTGATTCGATAAAAATAAATATTTTAAAACAATCTTATGACACTTAGTTAATCATATCTACATAAAACACCAGACGGCGATTTCTCCTGTTGGAGACCGAGCTCATCAGTGGTGTACTCAATTTGACTCACCTCAGAGCCTAGTTATCTCAAACCACTTGCACCTAACTTGGGCCGAACTCAAGTTACGAACTGAACAAACCACTATGCAGTGACTCAAGAATTCAAACTTCCTCTGACCGTCGATATACAGCATCGCCAGACCCACCAATATTATCAGCGAGTGTTTGTGCTAATACTTTATTTGGTGGGGCTAACAGGTTTCATTTTCTCATGGTAACTCCCAGGAAACCTATCCCTGTTCCTTTCAATGGTACGTGCTGATGAAAAGTCCCAAGCTAGGACGAAACAGCTATCCATTACTCTCTGGTGTAAGTATAAATCTTGAGCACTGTGGTAGAGTGTAACTCTATTTTAGATAAGATTTTATTTTAATAAATCACACAGTGTTATACAGTAATATTAACTGATGACGTTTCTAGCACAAACTATTGCCGCTCATAATCGTATCAAGTCACTCACACAACTTTTTCCCTTCCTCGAAACGTCATCAGTTAATATTACTGTATAACACTGTGTGATTTATCAAAATAAAATCTTATCCATAATGGAGTTATACTCTACCACAGTACCCAAGTTTTATGCTTCTATCTGTTTTACTTCATTATTTAGGCTTTTTTGTACTACTTAATGCTGTTGCTCAGTTTGTTAGACATTTCACTAGGCCTACCTTAACAGACACCGAACGGATGAGATGAATTAAAGTCTAAGTATCTATTAGAATGAGGTGGTTTTCTGTACACACTAGTGTGCAGTTTACCTTGTTCTATTCGTTTTATTTTACAATCTAAAATCGTAGCTAATTCTCCTTGTTCATTTTCCGATTCAAATGTGAATTTTATTCCCTCTACTTGTGAGTTTATGTGTGTCAAGAAGCTAGAGATATGTTCTGTTTTTAACACTGTGGAAGTGTCATCCACATATCTCCACCATATTTTCGGATATTTTTCCAGCTGTCCATAAATATGTCTGCTACAACAAGGGGATATTGGTGATCCCAATGCTACACTCTCTGTTTGTTTATGTATTTTGCCCTGAGATTTAAAGACAATAGATGTGAGGAATAACTGAATTCCTAAAATAACTTCTTCAGTTGGCAGCTTTGTCCTATGATTGAGTTCAGGATCTGCATTTAGTTCTTTTTTAACTGCTTCTAAGGCCATATTGACTGGTATATTAGTATAAAGACTAGTTATATCAAAACTAACCATTACTTCATCATTCTCTAGTTGAATGTCGTTTAGTTTATTTTTCATCTCATATGAATTAGTTAGTTAGTCTAGAGTTTGAACGATTTCTAATGGGGCATCATATTAGAGCTAAGTGTTTTGATAATTCATAAGTAGGGGTATTTCTGAAATCTACTGTTGGTCTTATGGGTTACCTGGCTTATGTATTTTTATAGTTCCATATATTCTACTAGCGTTATTAGTTTTAGGCATTCAATTAAACCATTTAAACCCACCCACCCAGTGGCATCTTCATACTACGTATTAAATCCTCTGTAGATTTCCTAATCTTATTCATTACTTCAACTAAAGACTTCTAAATTTCCTTATATGGACCCGTTTCAATGTGTTCAGTGACTTTCCTAATATAGTGAGATTTATCCAAAACTACTGTCGAGTTTTTCTTTATCAGCTTTTGTGATGACGATGTTTTTATCCTTTTTAGGATTAAACAGGGCTAATTTTCCCGATTTTGTTCAGTTCGATTGTGCCTTTTGTTTATTAAGATTTAATACACATTGAGCTAAAGTATCCAACTACTAGCCAGATTATATCATAAATATTGATTAGTAGTATAATGTTTTATTGATTTTTACACATTTTTCTTGTTATCTTTTATATCCAACAGGCGAATTCATATCGGTTTACAGGGAATCAACCACCTTTAGCTGCATCAACTCAACAAGCAGACTTCAATACCAATTACAACAGTATTAATAATCACAATAGAAATATTAATAATATTAATATAAATAATAATAATAGTAATCCTTTTAATAGCATATTTGCTACACTTAAAACAAATAAACGCCAATTGGGTAATTTTTATGAATCACAAGAATGGCAATTAAAATCACTTAGTCGTCATTGTGAAAAATGTGACCAGAATGATTCGAATCAAAAGAAACCTACAGGTCAAATAACTAAATTGACATCAAGTTGTCCACAGGATGTAGTGATGGCAGAACAAAAGTCTCAGTCTCAACAGCAACAGACACAACAACAGTCGCAATCACAGGATGAATGGGAGACATGGACAGATCAACATGAAATAAAGTTGACAATACGTTTAGCTGGTTTCGGACATATATGTATTCTACGCGGTAGAATGATACTTGAATCATACTTTTTAATTTTATCAAAAAAGTGGATGAAGGCGGTTATTGTTGGTAGGTTTATTGTATATATATACATATATGCCTGTGTTACACTGTTTTTCACTGACTAGAAGGGAGCCTGGTTTCGTCCCAACTGTGACTCGTCAGTGTTGTAAGGATGTTGTTGAGTATAGGGCTTCAGCCTAGAGCTTTAGAGTTTCACTAGCACTGGTTTTAATTTTTTTACGAGCTAGGGTTGCTAGCCACCTCATGCTCAACCTACCCTCTTTACCGGAATTATTAATGGTTTAGGGAGCTCTAGGAGTAAGTCCGTCGGGCGATGATCGATCCATGAACCACGTGAGACATGATTGGCAAGCGTTTACCGTTGGACCATTGACGCGTATCGTTATGGTAAAACTGTTTTATTCTTTTAAGTTCCAGGTGGAACATACGACTTTCAAGTTTTGAGGTTTTAGTAGCACTGGTGAATTGGGGTGGGGTCGCTAGCTCCACATCCAGCCTTTCCACTTTTCCAGGCCTATTTCTAGTTAGTAAAGCAGGAGAGGTTTAGGAGCCCGTCGGCTGGGAATCTAACCCAGGTGGCGTTCGCAGCTGACAAATATTCTACCATTTCAGTAATGACGCCTGTAAGGATTAGATACTGACCTTAATAATGCAGAAGACTGTTTCTCTAATCCAGAGGTGCATTTTTACAATTGGTGGCGGTCAGAGTGGGTTTTTTTAAATACCACTTTTAAGTATAATATGAAGATTATAGATGTTATAACTTTAAATTAAGGTTTTCTCATTCTAATGACTGTGAATTCCTTGGGTATACTGATATTATTATTATTTACTTGGGTTCGAGTGGAACATATGGCGCCTAAAGATTACGTCTGTATCTTGACATGTTCTCATCTTCTACTCACACACGATCTCCTCGATGTTACTGTTGAACGAACGCCCAACTCGTCGTTTCCCATCCGGGTTCCACTTGTGGGCTAGTCTGACGTGCGATGTTATTCAACCGCCTCCTCAGCGTGTGTCCAACTCATCTCCATTTCCTTCTGGCATATTTTTTCGGGTGATAGGTTCTTGATTAGTTAATTCCTTGAGTTCCACGTCGCCAGTTGTTTCTGACCAGTCATTTGATCTTGAATATGAGTCATCAGAGAGAACAATCGATGAAAGTCTGAAGCCTGATATTACTGTCTATTATCATTTGAATGCAAAGAGAGAATTCAAGTAGTTTTATAACAATCTATGAATAAACCGAGAAATAAAATTGCTGCACTGATCGCTGAATCAGACAGTAGATTAACTTTATTTAATTCCGGTTCTAGTTCATCTCTATGCATCCATGTCTCCACCGCCATGGATTGAAGGAAAAACCTTCAGGTCATCCCATTGAACATTCAGCTATTGAGACGGGATCCAATTACCCATGAATACTAACTTTTGCTAGTTTGTCTTAACTCTTAAAGGACTTGTTGATGACAATCGCTGGTTGTTGAGTCATATATCTCTCAGATTAGCAGAAATTAGAATTTATGGGCCACTTGGATTGCACCCCAGTAGCCGAATGAACAACCAGCTTGCCTGAACCCTTTGGGTCCAATTTCTGATGCGGTCATGATTAATTACATACTCATGAGGAGTCTCAAAGCAGAACGAAATAGTTGTTTAATAGATCCTGGTTTGCAGTGGTTCTTTAACTCAAATCAACTCTTGATAAAATTCCAAAAACACTATATTTTCAGGGAAAAAATGTTTTAATATTTTCCTAGGATGTATCTCAGCTTCTTATAAAACTGTAGGTATTCATCCAAATGGTTATTTTTTTGGAGTTGGTGCTGGGGCTAGGGATCAGAGTTCAATTACGTTTACTGGTTAGATTTAAATTTAAAGCACTCATCGAGATGATATTATCCCTCCAAATCCTGAATAGTGTTTATTATTTTGATTGAACTCTAGTTAGTAACTAGTGCAATATGTTTAGTCCCATCTTTGGTGCAGACTGAATTTTATCAGTCAGGTTTGCAATGTAGCCACCATTCTTGGTGGCTCGCCATCACGGTACATATTGATTTGATGATATTAGATAGTTGGAGGCAATCGGCAGGAAGCCTTGGACCTTCACCAAACAAAGGACTAAACACATCACACCAGCTACTAGTGTGGTGAGAGCTGGCTGCTAGCCAAAATCGGTAGGCAGTAATTTACGTCAATGTTTATGTCCCCAATATTTGTCGTGAGAAAAATAATAACAAAGACTGATTCAATAGCCAACCACAGAAAACTTTGCATAGGCGGATACAGTTAGCATATAGATGATCTGACATTCAAGAAACAGCCACAAAGAGATGAAAGATTAACTTTCAGTGAAAAACAATCAATCAGAAGACTGTGTTTGTTTGCTTACAATAATCTATCATAATGTACATGAAAATATATAAATATGTGTTGATTTATAAACGATCTGTTGCCTTACCCTTGTCTTCTGCCGTTACACTAGTGTCCGATCAAAGTATCCAATACAGTACTACAGGAGATGAATCAAGAGCCCGAATAACTAACTGCTCAGTGGTAACGTCTCTGACTCATTGCAGCAGTGGGTGACGCGGGTTTGAATCTCAGAAAGGACATGAGTTTCTTCAAGGTTGCGGATACACCTTGCTAACGAGTGGCAAATGCCAGCAAGCACGACACCTAGGTCAAGCTGGGTTTCCTGTCAACTGCCTCCAACCATCTATTATTATTATTATTATTATTGTTCCCTTGGATTCCTAGTGGAACATAGGGCTTCAACTCCACGTCTCCACTTGCCACTTCTGTCTTCTGCTGTGCTTTTCACCTGCATACATGTTAGTCCATACTCTTTCAACTCCTCTCTCTTCACACGATCTCCTCCATGTCACCCATGCACTGACGTCCCACTCGCCACTTCCTTTCGGGTTCCACTCGAGCAATGGCGTGACGCGCGCGCGATGTCACCCAGCTGCCTCCTCAGTGAGTTTCCAATCCATCTCCACTTTCTCCAGCATATCTGTTGGTTGGCAATTGGTTCTTGTTTTGTTTGTTCCCATAGTTTCTTGTTGGTGATTATTTCCGACCCGGCCATCTGATCTTCAGTATAGAGCCAGCAAAGACAGTTGTTGGTTGATAAAGGTCTGCAACAGGCTGTTGGAAATATTCTTTGTGACCCGCCCACCAAGTTTCTGATCCGTATAGAAGAACTGACTGACTTGACGTTGTTTGTATTGAAAATCCGACCGAATTTTGTTGTTGATGCCGGCTGAGTGACGAAGATTTCCAGATTGGTTTCAGGCTGATGAGTGAATGTGTTTCTCGCTGGCCTTCCCGATTCTCGCTCGATTTGACATCCTCGTCCGTTCCGACTTCCTGTAGTTGAGACAATGCTCCCTAGATAAGTGAGTGAATGAAGTAACCTGTTTCAAATCCCTCCCGTTGATGGTGATTGGCGCTGGACGTTGCTGTTGTTGTTGTTGTTGGCTGGTTATTTTCATAACCTCCGTCTTGTCTATGTTCACATAGAGTCCTGTCTTCGCTGGTTGATTCTTCGACCAGTTTATCGGTTTTCGCTTGTAAGTCTTCGATTTTGTGTGACATCAAACATAAATCATCCACGCGCGAAATCCAGGTCTTCTAGGTTCTTCACGTCGGTCCAGGATATCCCTGTCTTCTCGTTTCCCACTGTCTGACGCATAATCGAGTCCACCACAATTAGGAATATCATTGGTTATAATAAGCAAGCACCCTTATCTGACTCCTGTGTTTACTCGAAACGCCTCGCTGAGTTTTCCGTTCTGGATGACTTGAGATGTGCCGTTGTCGTACAGCTGCTGAATAAGGTTGATGAATATTTGGGGTACGCCGTAGTACTCAAGTAATTTCCAAATCATTTCGCGTTCAACTCTGTCGAAGGCCTTCTCAAAGTCTATGAAGTTGACTGCCATTCCATGCTTTGTTCGATGATCTCCAACCGTCTAATATCTACAATTCTGTACACTGTGTGAACACTTTGTCCGGAATAAAGCTTATTATTATCGTTATTATTATTATTATTATTATTATATAGGTGGAGATGAAGTGATGATACTGCTGAAACAACCAAGTCAAATCAAACGTTTTCGTTTAACATTTTTCGATGAAACTGATGCAAATAACTTTTTTGTCTGCCTATCAAAATTTGCTGCTACCAATCTTTCTAATGAATTGAATGAAGATCAGAATACAGAATCATTAAATAATAACAATAGCAACAATGATAAGGAGACAAAGTCGACAACGACGTCGACAAAGAACACCACAACTGCTGTTACTTCTACTGATCCTATCACAATAGAGACTATTCTTAACTCAATGTTAACTAATCAAGCCCAATTGCCTGAAAGTTGGTCAACTGAATGGCCAACACAAAGTTTAGACGGTTTAATTCGTTTGTGTTTAATTGATCCTAACTTTCCAGGATTTGTTAGTCGAATTGACAGGGTCATGAAAAAGTTCACTACTACAATAGATGATGATATACCAAATCGTGATAATGAAATACCAAAATAGATGAGGAAATATGGCTAATGAGTGATTGATAAAAAAAATAACTGAATCATGTTTGCCAATTTTGTTTTGTTTTTGTTGTTGTCTTACACTGTGTGTTTATTGTGTTACCGTTTTGTTTTCCTGCTCCTCTATTAAAACAAATATGCAATTATGCTACTATTCATTCAAAATAGTAATATAAAATGTCTAGTTTCTTTCTTTCGTTCTTTCTTTACATTATGGTTTGTGTAACATTGAAATAGAAAACAGCGGTACAATCAACTTGTTGTTACCCCTGTGAAGATGTCTGTGCTGTCCCTATCTACGTCTCCCAGACATAGCCACTAAAAGTGGAAGACTTGAGGATAGCTTTTTTGACCATGAGTGTGTTTGTATGTCCGCGTAGGTGGGTGTTTCTATTCTATCTTTCGTGTTAATTGGTAGAATAAGTTGATGAAGTTGTGTGAACTTTCATCGATTGAGATGGCTAAGACGCGTGTCACACAATGCTAAATGATTGCCTCCCTCATTGATTAGTGTTTTAGCTGACAGAGGATTAGGAACGTAGGGCTTCAGCCCCCCCAAGTCTCCAATGCGTTCGGTTCTGTGCTAACGTTTTCACCTGGATCCACGTCTGCTCACATGCTTTCATCTCCTCTTCTTTCACATGATCTCCTCCATGTTACCCTTGCACTGACGGCCAAATCGCCGCTTCCCTTTCGGGTTCCACTCGAGCGATGGCTTGTCTAGTGAAGTCACTCACTTGATGGTTTCCTCAGAATATGGCCAGCCAATCCATCTCCATTTCTTCCTGCCTATTTGTTTCACAATCGGTTCCCGCTGGGTTGGTTCGCTCATTGCCAGAGATCCCTGTTGATGATCTTTTCTGGCCAGCCACCTGATCTTGAGTGGTATTGAGCGACGAAAACTGGCTGTTGATGAAGGTCTGAAGTTTGTTTGAGATGCTCTTTATGACGCGCTGGCCAAGTCTCTGATCTGTATAGTGAGTAGCACTGACTTCACATTGGAGTTGAAAATCTGCGTCTTACTTTTCATGCTGAGGAGTGATGTTGATCTCCACACAGACTTGAGAGTAGTCAAAGCTTGCCTTGCTTTCCTGATCCTCGCTTTGACATCCTCATCAGTTCCGTCGGCCTATAGTTGAAACGATGCTTCCCAGGTAGTTGAAGAATGTTTGGGGTAGTTAAACTGAAATAGAGTATCAATCCATGAAGTCAACTGACTTCTATTTTCAGCCATCTAAAGAGAGGTGTAGACTGCCTGGATTGGGGTCGTCGAGACGCTAAGATGGAATGGCTACAGATTGTTGGTGACACAAGTCAAAATCATACGTAATAATGCAGACGTATTTACTCCTGTGTCCATAAAATTCTCATTAATTTTCATGTAATTATTCTTCCTCTAGCATATTTATTTTTTATTATTTTAGTCCCTTTATGAAGTGTGACATTCTGAACTGCTTCACTTTTGTTCGAATTTCTGGATTGAAAACTCCTTTTTTTATTTCAACTTAAGAATGCGTCGTTCAAATGAAACTGTTCTTGGAAGTGAGTTTTCCACTGAGGGACGAGTATTTCAGTCAGCCAGAAAACTACCAAGAATTTTATATTAGACAAGTATATTTAATGTAATACACGGTGATACAGTACTAATGACTGGAAAATGTTCCAAGCACAATTTACTACTCATAATCAAATTATATCATAAGAACAGCGCGCTTTTCGATTGGTGCATTACGTTTTCGCTGATATATGTAAAACTCTCATTTCTTTGTTGTATCTCACTACGAAGTTCTGGAATTTATTACAATCTGTCTACTTTCGAACACTGAACCTGTTGATTTAATATCACTGACTACTTATACCTATAACAAATTATTTTTGTTTTGACATTTTGTGACCTTTTAACACTAACATATCTATAATTTTATATAGCTTTTTTTTATTACAGCTTGATTCCACACTGTATTTTTGGTACAAGTATGGAATTTTCAGCATGGATATCGGTAGCCCAAATTTTGCAGGCCGACCATAGACATCAAGTGTGCGTCGGCAGGGGATCGAACCCGGGGCCATGTGCATTGTTGGCGTGAGTCCTAACCACTGTGCCACCATCGTTGGATTTATATGTTCAAGTTGGCCCAGGTCATTAAGTCTATGGTTTCGGTATCATTTTAGTTAACTGTGCTTAACTGTATTGCATGTTGTTGTATTGTATTGTTGTTGTCGCTTTTTGCCCTTTTTGCTGTGAATTATTTTCCTTTTGCTGGTGTTGTTTTGATTGTTTTGTCCGTTGTTTTCCGATTTTAAGGGAAGCAACCCAAAAGGTCGCTTCTCCCCAAACTTTATCTTAATGTAACAATTCATTTCTCAGGCGTGAGGCTAGCAACCCCACCCTGTAGACAAAGTTGCTACAGAACTTTCAGCACGATGAATCTCTTTGCGCTTAAACAAAAAGTTTGTGTGGGGACATGGAACGTCCGCACCATGTACGAGACAGGGAAAGCTGTCCAGATCGCAAACGAGATGATTAGATACGGAATCCAAGTACTGGGAATATGTGAAAGTAGATGGAACGAGAATGGACTCACCAAATTGTCAACGGATGAGTCAATGATCTACTCCGGTCACCCAGAAGATAATCACACGCACACTGAGGGTGTGACTATCATGATGTCACCAACGGAAACAAAGGCCCTGATGCAATGGGAGGTGATCTTGTCCAGGATAATGACCGCCAGATTCAACTCCAAAGGAAGGAAAGTGTCAATTATACCATGCTATGCACCCACAAACAACGCAGACCTCGAAAAGAAAGAAGAATTCTACAGACAACTACAGGCAGCAATGGACAATACGCCAGCTGGTGACATTAAAATACTAATGGGAGACATGAACGCCAAACTGGGACCAGACAACACAGGAAGGGAACTCATCATGGGTAGAGAAGCTCTTGGAGAAATGAATGAAAATGAAGAACTCGTCGCCGACTTCTTCGCCTTCAACGAACTAGTGATTGGTGGCAGTCTATACAAGCACAAAGATATCCACAAGGCTACATGGGTGTCACCAGATGGGCAAACCAGAAACCAAATTGACTTCATCTCAATCTCAAGGAAGTGGAGGCACAGCCTACTGGACACAAAAGTAAGAAGAGGAGCAGACGTTGCCTCAGACCACTATCTCGTACAAGGGACAATCCAAATCAAACTAAAAGCTTTCAGGGAATCAGGAGCTGCAGATAGACCACAAGCCAAGATCAACACTCAAAAACTGAAGGACCAGGCTACAAAGGACATCTTCATTGCAAACATAAGGGAAAAAGCCGAGACACAAATCAACACTAGCGAAGAGGTCGGCGTCGAAAAGCACTGGGACAACTTGAAAATGGTGTGGAGCCAAACAGACAAACAGTAGCTCACTACGGACACTTGGAGACTAATAAAAGAGAGAAGGGTGGTGAAACAAAAGATTATCCAGTACACCGACGAGCAACATAAACAGGATTTGAATGCAAGCTACAATACGTTGAACAAGAGAGTAAAGAAGAGTGACAGGGAAGACAAAAGAAAATATTATGAAACCATGGAAAGTGAAGTGGAACAAGCTGCAGGCAAAGGAGACCTCGCCACACTCTACCAAACAACTAGGCACCTATCGGCAAAGGTTCGACACAGATTAAGCCAGTGAAGGATGACAATGGAAAGTCAATCACCAAAGAGGTGGAGCAAAGGAAACACTGGGCTGAACACTTCAAAAGACTTCTATATCGTCCGCCACCTACAACGCGCCCAACAATACCAACAACGGAAGCAGAACTACAAGTGAACATCAACCCCCCGACGAAATCAGAAGTCCTGAATGCAATCAAGATGCTAAAAGCTGGGAAAGCAGCAGGACCAGATGGAATCCCAGCAGAAGCTTTGAAAATAAACCCAGAGACAACAGCGGAGTTGAAGACGCCACTGCTGGAGAAGGTGTGGAAAGAGGGCAAAGTACCTGAGGATTGGAAGAAAGGATACTTATTCAAACTACCAAAGAAAGGAGACTTAAGTCAATGCAAAAACTGGCGCGGAATTATGCTACTGTCCATTCCAAGCAAAATACTAAGCCGCATCATCCTAGAGAGAATCAAACACGTCACCCTAGATGAAAAACTTCGACCGGAACAAGTTGCATTGAGGAGAAACAAGTCATGTATTGATCAAATCGCCACTCCACTCATCATCATTGAACAAAGCTTGGAATGGAAGTCACCTCTCTATCTCAACTCCATCGACTCTGAAAAGGCCTTCAACAGCGCGTTGATCGAGAGGTGATTTGGCAACTACTTTGCTACTGAGGGAGGCCATCGACAATTATACATCTCATCCAACAGTTATACGATAATGCTGCATGCCAAGTAATCCACAACGGGAAACTTGCGGAAACCTTCGAAATGAGGACGGGAGTGAAGCAAGACAGTCTATTATCGCTAATGATTTTCCAGGTTGCAGTAGATTGAATAATGCAACAGACAACGGCCAATGAGGAAACAGGCATAAAATGGACTCACACAAAAACATCTTGGAGGATCTGGACTTCGCCGATGATGAATATGTCTGATTTCCCACAAACTGGAAGATATGCAAGTGATGAAAAGCAACAAGCTGGCAGAAGAAGCATCAAAGATAGGACTTCAAGTGAACATATAGAAGACAGAGATGATGAAGATTCCTGGCCAACACCAACAGCAACAACAACAGACAACAATCAGCCACCATAAATGGGAAGAACCTGAAAGAAACAATTTCCTTTACCCACCTTGGAAGCATCGTTTCAACTACTGGTGGATGGAACTGATGAGGATGTCAAAGAGAGGATCAGAAAAGCAAGACAGGCTTTCATTACCTTTAAGTCTGTGTGGAAGTCAGTATCACTCAGCATCAAAAATAAGGTCCGGATTATCAACTCCAATGTGAAGTCAATGCTACTCACTATACGGATCACAGACTTGGCCAGCGCGTCATAAAGAGCATCTCAAACAAACTACAGACCTTCATCAACAGCCAGTTTTCGTCACTCAATACCACTCAAGATCAGATGGTTGGCCAGAATAGATCACCAACAGGGATCTCTGGCAATGAGCGAACCAACC